TACAATGGGATTTGGGAAGATAGTAAGAAGGTATTACTAGCATTAAGTAGGTAGAGCCCAAGGATATTGTTAAGCATCTTACAGGACAGTCTCCCACAACAAAGTTCAAAATGACAGTAGTATTGAGGTCAAGAAACCATGCAAATCGTAGCCTTCTCATTTCCTTCTTGGTCTCCGTCTCTAGGTCATACAGAGCAACTTCTTGAGGTAACGTGCACAGTTAATTAGTCCCTATTCCCAAGCAATTTTAGAGTGAATGGTTCTTTATAATGAGTAAATATCTTCTTAGCTAGAATGCTTGAGGAGCAGCCTGGAGTGTTAGGCTTCTCTCACATTTTGTTTTGTGTGGTTAAGGGCTCTAAGTTTTAGTATATTTGATTTTCCACTCTGTAAACTGCAAGATTATCAGTCAACTTGCATTTGTAGTGAAAGACCGAAAAGATATTCCTCTTATTAAGACTTCACTCAAAGTGTGCTGCTTTTCTGAAGGATCTTCTGAAGACTGGCACATAGTTGGCAGTATACCAATATCCTAACATTTTTACCAAGTACTCTACAGTTCCATCCTTGGTATGCACATAGTCCAATTTGTAAGAGGTGGCAATTTACCAGCTGTTTTGCTTATTAAGGACTGCTGACTTCTCACCGTACAAAAGAGGGACACTAGATTCCCTTCACTTTTTTTTATTGACTGAGTCAGTTCTGCATTTCAGGGCTGTTACTTATAATTCCTGATTTCTGGCATAAAGGTTTATATTTGTCAGCTTTTATATGTCAGTGATAGAAACCCTATTAAAAAATTAATCCTTCCTGTTTCTGTAAGTGGCAACTCTCTCCTTGTTTTTTTTTTTTTTCTTTTTTTCCTCAGACCCCAAACCTTGAAGTTATTCTTAACTCTTTTTCTTTTACTTCTCTCACACAATCTTTCATCATACTCTGTTGGCTTCAAAATATGTCTGAAATCTTACCACTTCTCACCATGTCTATTTAGGTCACTCTGGTTGAGCACTGTCCTCTTTCCTTCCACATAACTTCTAATAAGTCTCCCTGCTACTACTGTTGCTCTCAGAATATTATTAGCCTTAGAATATTAGTGTCATCCATTTGAAAAGAGATCATGTCACTTAGCTCAGAATCTTTTAGTGGCTTCCCATGTAACTCAGAGTACAAAGCTCAAGGCCTTCAAATGAGCTAGTTTTATGGTCTTCTTCTCCCTCCTTCATGCAGGATCTTTCTCTGACCTCAGATTTTTCTGTTGTCTTTACCATTTGCTCAGAACAGGCATCTTTGTTCTCTCTTAAATAGGTGCTTTGCATTTACTATTCCCCTGGCCTGGAATGCTCTTTTCCAGATATCCATATGACTTACTTCCTCATCTCCTTTAAGTCCTTGCTCAAATATCACTTCATTTATAAAGCATTTGATCACTTAACTGAAATTTGAAATCTACTTCCCACATACTTCTTACCTTTTTCTGCTTTTTCTTTCTTTATAATCACAACTCAATACTGTATCTTTTACTTATTTATTTTCTATTTTGTTTCCTCTCTAGAACATAATCTCTGTGAGGATAGGAATTTTTGTCTGTTTTGTTGTGTGGAAAAATGCATGGCACATAGCTTAGTAGGCTGTCAGGAAATATTTGTTGAATGAATTAATACATAAAAAATAATTTATTGACTCATGTAACTATTAAGTCTGAAACACTGATGGGACTGAGAATAACCTGTAGAGGGAGAATGATTACTCATTAAGCAAATCTCTCCAGGAGAAAAGGGGAAAGTGTCTAGGTTTATTACACTAGAATATAGGTAAATATAAATGAAAAATATAAAGTAACAAGAAATATAAGTTTTTAAAAAAAGAATATAAGTAAATATCTCTGAGGGAAGGGAAGGAGAGGGTTTTATTTCTCCAAAGCTCTTTGGAGGTCTCTATCTTTAGGGATACACTATGTCTAGCTTACAAGGCTGTCTATTATGCAAAAACCCTTGTAGTACCTTTCATTCAGGAGGGTCTGATTGTGCAGGAACTTGAGAAATCCAGAGAGAATTGTTTCCCAGCAGTAATTCTAAAATTGCAGCAGATACATCTGTTCACACCTGAATTCACCTGAGCTCAGGTGTGATTAGATCTATGGGCAAAATCTTTTCAGAATGTTCTTTTCTCTTTCCATCTCTTTTTTCTTCTTTTCTCTAGTGTTGGCTCACTGTCAAATAGGTGCTTTCCATGTCCTTTCAGTTTACCAACCTCAGCTGAAAAAGAGAGCTTTCTGACTAATTCCTACAAAAATTTTGGGATTGAGTTTTATTAGTTTGATTGGGTTACAAACCCATTCCTGAACTTTTGCTTGGGAGAGAGAATATGCTGATTGTCCAGATCTGGCTCATGTACCTGTTCCAGGAACTTTGCGCTCATTCCAGGGGACTGAGAGTGGGGGTGATTAGTGCCACCCACACTACATGGATTGAGAGTAAGAGAAAGGTAGTTCAACGGAAGAAAATTGAAATGCCGCTACCAAGAGAAGGGAAATTAAAAAACAATGCAGGTCTGTCACTTACATGCACTCATGCTCATTTGAAAAAAATTAATCTTATTGTCTATAGGTATTCCTGCCTCATCCGTTTTTCACCTAATATCATATTGTGAACAAAAGATTTTTCTTTGAAACTGTGATTTTAAATAGATATAAAATTATATTTAAATTCATTGCTTAATTTTTATGTATTTGGTTTATCCGAATTAGATTTTGGTTTATCAGAATTGGGATGTTACATACTAGAGAAGTAAGAGTAGGGCACAAAATGTACTTTGTACTCCCTTTTAGGGTCATGCAACATCAGGGTGGCAATTGCGTGACCCTGAGAGTGAATATCTCCATACATTTTTTACCCTAGGTTCTTCTCTTGCCTCACTCTAGTCCTAGTTGGGAAGAGAAGCACATTTAAGGAATAGGAACTATGTTTGGTTATGGGTAGGAGTTAAAGATAGTAAACTGTGTAGTTGGGAAAGTTGGTGGGGAAGATTAAGGTGCACCAGAAAGCAGTTATACATTCTTAACTTGTCTGTGGACACCTTTGCTGAGTTCTGATAAGGCTAATAATCCCTTTGAAGTGATACAAGGAGTATAATTTTTAGTCATAGGTTTATAGTAGGTTGAGCAAAGAACTGCTGCATTTGAAGATGCTATCGAGGAAATTGTTACTTATTTTTAACCCAAATTATTTCAGTATCAAGTGTAAAAATACTTTTTCACTGAAAAATAAAAGTTATAGAAGAGACGAGTTGGAGAGTGTTACATAAATAACGCATGGAAGCTTTGACTGGATACTGTTCAATGTTGGGCGTGGAATCCCAGTTGAATAGTTGATTTTCTTGTTTTTAAGTCTTTGAAAATAACTCTTTTATATCACACTGGGAGACCAGAATATGGAATTCTAGATAACTCGCAACTATCTTTGCCGATAGAGAAGAGAGGCTAAAAAAATTCAAATTAAATATATTTTCCAGTAATTTTGAGGTCTGTCTTTACAATGGAATTAGGTAACATATGTAATGTGTACATTTAGGTACACACTATATTTTGTTCTTTGGAAATATTTATAAGTAATATTATTAGCTATACTATATCTGGGGGATTTAACTGAAGGTACTCTATTAAAAGCAGTGTAAAAGAAGTCATGATTAAAATTTTCATATTTAAATATTTTAAGTACTGAATTTTATCATTTACTATAACAACTCTTGTTAAAACTTTGCTTTACAACCAAAGTATACAAATCAGAGAAAGCTGTGATTCACCTTGGAATTTCATTCATTCAGTAATCACTTGTTTGGTGGTTAGTGTTCCAGGTATTGTGTAGGATATTAAGATAACAATCCTTGTCTTCAATCATATCACAGTTTAGTGGAAGAAGACGGATGTAATAATACTTTCATTATATGTAGATTAGATTTCCAGCCAATTCTTGCATTGAGAACCTTGCCAAATCCAGAAGAGAATAAAATGCTCGTCAGGGGAAAAAGAAGGAACTCTTTGGAAATGGGTAAAAAAGCTTAGAAGAGTGGAAGACTTGGAAGATATTCCTGACACAGTATTTGGTCAGTTTCCTGACCAGAAGGAAAGGGGTAATCTTATTGGTAACATCTATGAAATGTCCTCTGATTCATGTGAAAGTCAAGGAGGGGAAATGACAGAAAACCGAATAGGCAAACAAAAAAGAGGAGCTTGAAAGAAGAGTTGATTATAAACCACGAGGTCAAGATTAGAAATGCAAAGTCATGAGGCAAAAAATGAGACACTGTGACAGAGCTATAAACTGCTATATTGACATCATGATAGAGAAGAGAGCCAGTGACCAAGAAACATCTTAGAAATTCTAGTTTCAAGGATTGTGAGAATAGCTGATGAAAGAAGAGTCATGCTTTGGCATACTAAAGTATGTTAGAGAAATATGTGTGTGCTGAGAGAATGCTTCACAAACCTTCAACCTTTGACAAAGTTTTTCTCACATAATAACTTTTTTAGGATATAATATTTTTTATATTTAATTTTTTAGTTAAAATTATTGGAGTGACATTGGCTAATAAAATCAAATAGGTTTCAAGTGTACAATTCAATAATATATCATGTATATTGCATTGTGTGTTCATCATCCAAAGTTCAGTTTTCTTTTGTTATAAAATATTTGATCCCCTTTACCCCTCCCTACCTCCCACCTGCCCCTCTACAGAGAAAAAATATGAATTACCCATTCAAAACTGAGTGAATAGGTTAGAGGAGAAGCTAAGGTACAATATTCATTGGGAAACTTGTGGAAAAAAAGGGGAGAGAGTAAGCAGAGGATGGACAAGTAAGTAATGCATTCTTGTTCTTTATATGATGAATGAGAGAAACTGCCACAGTTGATTTCCAGTAGCAGCCTACTATACTCCATGTATGCATGTTCACTTTTTTCTCTGTAGTGTACAGTTCTGACTACTTGAATTTCTTCTTTCAGCTCATGTTTTCTGGCTAGCTCTATGATCATTCCCGTGAGACTTCACTGAACGTTTTCACAAGTGTCTTCCTCATCCCTAATGTGTAATCCTTCAACATGGACCTGCTACTTTAGCTAAGATATAACCAGCAATGAATAGTAATAAGGTAGGATTACACTACTCTTCTTTGTAAATTACTATTAAAAATGTATATTATTTTTTTCCTTTGACACTATGAAACAGTTTTTTCTTGATTTTGTAGTGTTTATGTTAGATTATTCTCCTGCCAACGCAGGCTACAGTCATTTTATATTTGTCTTATTTATGTTTTGCTTGTCATTTATTCTCCTGAATTCTATCTCATTTGTGATGTAATAATTATTTTTTTCAATTAACACTTATAATCAGTAGCATTCCAATCTATATCTCTTTCCTAGCTGGTGTGCTCACTAGTCCTATATTTTCAACTGCCTGGCACCAAACTCAGCATATCTTATTTTTCTTCCTAAACACTTGTTCCTCCTCTGGTTTCTGTATTTCTATTAATAACATTATTAGTCCCATTGCCTAATATGGTCATATGTTCATTTACTATTTCATTTATTTATTTGATGCACATTGATATGCTTCTATTAAGTATCAGACAATTTGCTGCTTTCTGGGGTGTAATGGTGAATAAGCTGGATATCCTATTCTTACAGCTTATGTTGTCGGGGGTGGAGGATAGGTTTAAAATAAACCGACAAAATAATTATGAATTGTAATAAACTTTTTGAAGCAAAAAACCCACATAATTTAGAGATAAGGAGCTATTTGAGATTGGGTGGTCACAAAAGACTCCTCTAAAGAGCTGATATTTAAGATGAGACCTAAGGATGAGAAGAAGCTATTTCAAGGGTGGGCAGTGTGTGTGTGAGGCGGTGGGTGGGTAGCGTTTTTGATGGGGAAAGCATTCTAGTTAGAAGGAATAGTGGAGTGAAATAAGTCGAACAAGAGAAAGACAAATACTGTATGTTCTTACTTATATGTGGAATCTTAAAAAGCCAAATTCATAGAACTAGGAAGTAGAATGCTGGTTGCCAGGGGCTGGGTAATGGGGTAAATGGGAAAGAGGTTGGTCAAAGGGTACAAACTACCAGCTATGAGATAAATAAAATCTGGGGATCTAATGCACAGCTGGTGATTATAATTAAGAATAGTACTATATTATACACTTGAAAGTTAAGAGTTAGTAAGATGATAGCCATTCTGACAGGTGTGAGGTGATATCTCATTGTGGTTTTAATTTGCATTTCTCTGATGATGAATGACATTGAGCATCTTTTCATATGTCTGTTGGCCATCTGTATGTCCTCTTTGGAGAAATGCCTATTCAGGTCCTCTGCCAATTTAAAAATTGGATTGTTAGGTTTTTTTTTTGGTGTTGAGTTGCATTTTGAATAGTAACCCCTTACCAAATGTATCATTGGCAAATATCTTTTCCCATTCAGTAGGTTGTCTTTTCATCCTGTTGATGGTTTCCATTTCTATGCAAAAACTTTTTAGTTTGATGTAGTCCCATTTTTTTTTTTTGTTTCCCTTGCCCAAGGAGGTATATCAGAAAAAATATTACTAAGAGCAATGCCAGAGAGTTTACTGCCTATGTTTTCTTCTGGTAGCTTTATGGTTTTAGGTCTTACATTTTAAGTCTTTATTTTGAGTTTATTCTTGTATATGGTGTAAGATAGTGGTTAGGTTTTATTTTTGTGTGTGTATCTTTCTAGCTTTCCCAGTACCATTTATTGAATACATTGTTTTTACCCCGTTGTATATTCTTACCTCTTTTGTTGTAGATTAATTGTCCATATAGGCATGGGTTTATTTCTGGGTTTTCTATTCTGTTTCATTGATCTGTGTGTCTATTTTTATGCCAGTACCATGCTGTTTCGATTACTATAGCCTTGTAGTATAGTGTGATATCAGGTATCATTATTCCTTCAGCTATGTTCTTCTTTCTCAAGATTGCTGTGGCTATTTGGGGTCTGTAGTGGTTCCATATATACATTTTAGGAATATTTCTTCTAGTTTTCTGAAAAATGCCATTGATATTTTGATAAGGATTGCATTGAATTTATAGATTGCTTTAGGTAATATGAATGTTTTAATGATGTCAATTCTTCTTACTCATGAGCATGTTATATGCTTCCATTTATTTGTATCTTCTTCAGTTTCTTTCTTTAATATCATAATTTTTTGAGTACAGGACTTTCAGTTTCTTGGTTAAATTTATTCCTAGGTATTTTATTTTTTTGATGCAATTGCAAAGAGGATTTTTTCTTAATTTCTCTTTCTGATCATTTGTTATTGGTGTATGAAAATGCAATAGATTTCTTAATATTAATTTTGAATCTTGCTACATGACTGAATTCATTTATCAGTGCTAATAGTTTTTTTAGTGGAATCTTTAGGGTTCTCTCTATATAGTATGTCATCTGCAAATGATAGTTTTACTTCTTTCTTTTCAATTTGGATGTCTTTTATTTAACACAGAATTAGATATCTTGTTCTTGATCTTAAGGAAGACGCTATTAGCTTTTTACTGTTGAGTATGATGTTAGCTGTGGGTTTGTCATATATGGCCTTTATTATGTTTGAGGTATGTTCCCTCTATTACCACTTTGCTGAGATTTTTTATTGAAGAAGAAATAATTTTTAATGTTAAACATTCTATCTATGAAATTTGATATTTATCTTCTTAATCCTCAGTCTTAAAAGAAACTCTTTGGAAAGTCTTTTCTTTTTATCTTTCTTGTATTATAAATTGAATACATGCTCATGATAAAAATTCAAGCTAGAGGTACATGAAGTAGAAAGTGACATTCTTCTTACTATTGTAAGTCTCACTGTTCAGAAGTAGTTAGTGATAAAAGTTTGATATATGTCAATTTGGAGTTTTAAAATATATACATTTAAGACAATGCATGTTTATGTTTGTATAATTTTCAAAATACGATCATTTGATATACTTGTTTAGAAATTTGCTTTTCCTATGTATCCTTTGATTTCTACTTATGCTCCGTGCAATTCCAAGATTTATTGGATATATAAACGGACAGAACTAGCAGAGAATAAAAGTCATAAACTGGAGTAATCAAATTTGGGGGGAAATAAAATTTAAAAGCTCAGGATGAGAAAAATACCTGCTAGTTCTTTTTTGGTGTAAATGCTATGTGTTAATTTAGAAGTGCCTCTTTTTGACTTGTTTAATCTATATGAAATTATGAAAGTTGTCATTTTTTAATATAATACATTTTTGAATAAACACATGAGGGATAATTAGAGTAGAATTTTAAGATTTATTGAGTACATCAATGGGTATGCACCTATATGCCTGATGTGTTTGAAACATGAGGATATAGTTGTGAATAGGACCCTGTCATTACTTAGTGCTGTGATAACAAATTGCAGAGGTAGAGAAGGCTGCCTGGAGAAGGTGAATATAAGCACAATCTTGAAATACTAGTAAGAGTTGGCTAAGATTTTTAAAAACGGCCAGTGGAAGTGAACAAGTGTTGAGTCAGAGTTATAGGTTGTTAGTATAGGCATAGAAAGGCAGAGAGTCAGAGAGTCAGGCAAAGTGATTCAGTATGTGTTGGGAAAGAAGTAGGGGGTCAACATGCCCTATTTTGCATGGGACAGTCTAGGCTTACACCTTTTTTCCTGGCATAATAAAGAATAGCATCCCTTTCACTCTTAACAGTATCCCAATTATGGATAATAAGTGGCATGTTTACCTTAGAAAAGAGAGAATATAGAAGCAGTTAAGACTCCAGAGAGATGGAATATAGTAGGTTATAGTAGGTTAGGCCTAAAACTAGAATATTAAAATTTACCATTGCAGAGATAAACTAGTTTTGGATTTAGGCTATGGGCAATAGCAGGGGTAGTTGAAATGGAGTTGGACTAAATGGGTCTTTGGACAAGAGAAAGACTAGAGGTTAAAAACTCTATGGATGAAGATAAGAGTGGGTTAGTGCATAGGTTTTGGGCCAAGAGGAGATTGAGAGCACGATTTGTAACATTTAGGTGATATGGGACTTGGTGAGCTGAATGGCATAAATTTCAAAGGAGAAGAGATTTTTGAATAGGTTT